GGCTGGAGGCATCATCGGACCATTCTTCTTCGAAAATGCGGCTGGTCAGGCAACAATAGTTAATGGTGCTCGCTATCGCGATGATAATCCAGTTTTTTGTGCCTAAATTGATATGGATGTGGACGACATGTGGTTTCAACAAGACGGTGCCACATGCTATACAGTCCGAGAAACAATTCAATTACTACATGAGTCATTTCCTGGTCGTGTAATTTCCCGTTTTGGTGATCAGATTTGGCCGCCAGATCATGCGATTTAACGTCGTTGGACTTTTTTCTTTGGGGTTTTTTGAAGTCTAAGGTTTATGCCAATAAGCCCACGCCTTGAAGGAGGAAATTAAGTTGAGCGTTGTATCAACGAAATTCAGCCACATTTATGCAAAACGGTCATGGAAAATTTCAACAAAAGAGTGCATATGTGCCAGCAAAGCTGTGGAGGCCATTTACCCGCTATTCCATACATAACCCTATACTGTATACTTTATGAATCAATAAAAAATTTACAATTTTTAATTATAAACCTGTGTTTTCTATCAAAATTACTTCTTGCGTGAATTTTGGGACACCCTTTATTATAGGAACAAAGTTGATTTGTCATAGCCGTTATATCAAGAGTCAATGATCTCACAGTGGCACATGTAGGAGAATTCGCGAAGAAACAACGCAAGATATATTTCGGTTGGATTTAGGCCGCGGCTCCACTCTATCACACCTGTCGATACTTCTTCACGATTCCTCTCTTTCTCTCTCTCTCTCTCTCTCTCTCTCTCTCTCTCTCTCTCTCGCTCGCTCTCTCGCTCTCTCTCTCTCTCTCTCGCTCGCTCTCTCGCTCTCTTTCTCTCTCTCTCTCTCTCTCTCTCTCTCTCTCTCGCTCTCTCTCTCTCTCTCTCTCTCTCTCTCTCTCTCTCTCTCTCTCTCTCTCTCTCTCTCTCTCTCTCTCTCTCTCTCTCTATCTCTCTCTATCTCTCTCTCTCTCTCTTTCTCTCTCTCTCTCTCTCTCTCTCTCTCTCTCTCTCTCTCTCTCTCTCTCTTCTCTCTCTCTCTCTCTCTCTCTCTCTCTCTCTCTCTCTCTTAGCAGAATTCCTTCGGCTATAGGCGAGAAACTTGGCGCTGTCGGCTTTGTCGTCCCGAGCTCGTCCTCGTCCTCGTCGTCTTCGTGTTTCCGCACCCAGCGACGAATATTTGTCGAGCGACTACGCGTGATTATCTCCTCTCGTTTTAAAGTGGCTTGAGAGATTCCACTTCCGCTCGGTTAACTTTCTCCGGCTCGGCTCTCTCCATCGCGGACCTACTCATCTTCCACTCTCCCACCCCGTCTCTGCTCTCTTTCTCTTTCTCCTCCCTCTGTTGTGCGGCGTTACGGTACAAAGCGGCGCGACGTTGCCTCTTTACCGCAATAGCGAGGTCACGGAGGGAGCACGGGTGATGTTTGTCGGAAACGCTGCCCGTTTCCGATCTGACTTATCTCAAGGTACCACTGAGAGAAGAAGAGCGGTACCTGACGGGAGTATCTGAGAAGAGTAGAGACGGCCGCCTATCGGTTTTCCTCAGAGGAGCGGTGTTCTCTTCGTCTGCGCGGAGACCGTATATACAGACAAAGGATAAAAAGAATTTCCTGAGAAAATGAGACGAGACTTCGTCTCCGTGACATCGAATATTTGTAAGGGACATTGGATCGGATAGTTGCTCAATAGGGGATATCGAGTGGGTATACCGGGCGAAAAGTTAGGGATGCGAGTGTAAAGACGCGCTTCGGACGAAGGCGCGATTCCGGTCACTTTGACACCGCGGACTAATGATCGATAACTCGATGAACCCTTGAGTGTCCTTCTCGGCGGGTACAGCGATCTCCGAGCGATGCCAGCGAAGTACTTAGTTATCAGTACCGAAGCACTTGTTTACGGAGAAATCTATATACAGGGTGGGGCAATAACTATTAGGACCTTAAATATCTTCGAATCTATAAGGTCCAGAGGAAGATTTGTGTATCCAAATTTGCACGGCACGAAGGGGGCTATCATATAGTGATAATAATTTTTGTCCAGGTGGAGGCGCTTCGGAGACACCAAGGTCATTTTCATTTTTTTAAATTGGTCCGATATGTTTTTTTTCCATAATATAATAGAGGAGCTCGAAACAAGTTCAGAACTCACGACACAAGATCATTGAACAAGATTTAAAGTAAAGTAAAGAAAAATCGATAAAAATACATTTTTATTATTGAATGAGATTTACGTTTACAAAAGATGTTCGAATGGATACATCGTGCATGATTGACTGATTTTTATTTTCTTTTTATTTTAATCTTATTTCAATCCATTTTCATGTCTAGTTTATCCTGAGAACTTGCTCAGATGTCTTTCAGCAGTGAAAATAAATACTCACGTATTATCACTTCAATGAAAACAAACACTCTTTGAAGGACATCTTAATAAGTTAGTAGTAGTAGTAATAAAGTAAACATCTAATAAAAGTAAACAAGATTAATATCGACAAATCAGTCAATCATGCAAGATGTATCCATTTGAAAAACAAGTTGACATGATTTTAATTTATGGTGAATGTCAACAAAATTCAGTGCGAGCAAGAATTTTGTATTCTTCATGTATTCAGCTCGTTCGTCAGACTTGGCACCACTGGATTTCTTTTTATGGGGAACCCTAAAGGACATGATCTACAAAGAAAAACCAACTACACCTCAAGACATGCAACAACGGATTTCTCACAGCCTGTACATCAATAACTCCTGACGTTATTAAAAGAGCAAGCCAATCAATGATCGGAAGAATCCAATCTTGCATCGATAATGATGGCCATCACTTCGAACATCTTTTGTAAACGTAAATTTCATTCAATAATAAAAATATATTTTTATCGATTTTTCTTTACTTTAAATCTTGTTCAATGATCTTGTGTCGTGAGTTCTGAACTTGTTTCGAGCTTCTCTATTATATTATGGAAAAAAAACATATCGGACCCATTTAAAAAAATGAAGATGACCTTGGTGTCTCCAAAGCGCCTCCACCTGGACAAAAATTATTATCGCTATATGATAGCCCCCTTCGTACCGTGCAATTTTGGTTACACAAATCTTCTTCTGGGCCTTATAGATTCGAAGATATTTAAGGCCCTAATACTTATTGCCCCACCCTGTATATTATAGGTATTGTTTTGTATAACGGCTGTAATCAGCTCATGTATAGGTGTAACAGCAACATACAGGTCAGTATGACGGGTTGCTTGCCCCTATTCGGATAGTAATGCAGAGGTTGCCGAAAAAGTCACTCGTTGACTTTATTGATAATGATATTTGCAGTGTTCCCAGTTATGACAAATGCAACTAACTTTGCACTGTGTTCGTTATGACAGTTTATCGACCATTTACCGACAGGAGTCGAGCCTCATTGAATAAGAAAAGATGTTTAAAAAATGAAACTGAGAAATAAATATTACGGAATAAAACGAAATAAACAAGAGGAATATTTAAAGAGATAAATAATACAACATATTTCCTGGTTTCGCATAATTTCTTAATTATTTTCTCACGTTGGCAAGTTCGATAGAAGTTGGAGATTAGAAAGAACGATACAGAAATATTTAAAAGTCTTATATACTGTATTTCATTCATGTTTCTATAAAAGATCGCTTCTGCAAAAGTATGAACGGACTAGAAACGCAGTATAAACATTGGTTACAATTTAATCGACTGCACCTATCAAGCGACATATTTTCGGTATATTATAGTCTTGTATCTTGGCATCGAAAATAGGGCCTTTTATAGTCTATAGAATCACTATAGTATTGTATCTTTTATCGAAAAGGGCCTGTTTCTCGAAATTTTTTGCAGCTTGATAGTTGCAATCGATTAAATTGCAACCAATATATATATATATATATATATATATATATATATTGCGTTTGTAGTCTATTCATACTTTTGCAGAAGCGATTTTTTGATAGAAACATGGATGAAATACAGTATATAAGACTTTTAAATATTTCTGTATCGTTCTTTCTAATCTCCAATTTCTATTGAACTTACCAACGTGAGAAAACAATTAAGAAATTATGCGAAACCAGGAAATATGTTGTATTATTTATCTCTTTAAATATTACTCTTGTTTATTCCGCTTTATTCCGTAATATTTATTTCTCAGTTTCATTTTTTAAACATCTTTTTTAATTCAATGAGGCTCGACTCCTGTCGGTAAATGGTCGATAAACTGTTATAACGAACACAGTGCAAAGTTAGTTGCATTTGTCATAACTGGGAACACGGCAAATATCATTATCAACAAAGTCAACGAGTGATCTTTTCGGAAACCTCTGCATTATCATCCGCATTATCATAGGGACAAGCAACCCGTCATACTGACCTGTATGTTGCTGTTACACTCTATACAAATCGACTGACAAACGTCGCGGCAATGGAAGGTGTCTTACGTGTTAAAATGAAGTATGTGGGATTGAGGAAAGGCGATTGCGTTTGCGCAGACTATGACCAACAAAACATCTCGAGAGGGATACATGACACCATGAAAGAAACATGATAGTCAAACATTCAGATGTTATATACATACAAACTGAGTATTATTATTATTAGTATTAACAGTGTAAGATTATTTATATTTTACCAGCTACATTTTCACGAAGATGAAATAGTCGATAATTTCCTCAAAGAGTAAATGTGTTAGGAGTACACGCACTTTCTAGTACGTTGAAGCGCGTGAAATTACAAAGACTGGGAAAGGCGAGTGCGTCTGCGTGAAATTATATCAATAAGTCATTTTACGAATTTTTAATGTATGGGAAATAAACATACGTCGAGTTTCTTTCGTTGTCGGATCGATAGTCTAATCGTCGGCACTTCCCCAGTGAAACCACAAGTTGTTAAACCACAAGTGCGCCGTTCTCACAGTGGTATGTTGCACTAGCGCGCGTTATATTGATGCTAAATTACGACATTTGGTCTAAAATTTACGCTAGAAGGGGGAACTATTGGATATTCAATTGACCGGTCGAAAGAAGGTGCGCGAATATACGATGACGTTTTCATGCTCAAACGCGTTTCAGTGCTCGTCGAGAAATGATCTGTATCGAAAGCCAACATTTTAACCTCAACCGAATTCTTTTTCTCGCGATAGGATTATGGCCTTATCAACAATCGAGACTCGCTCAACTTCAGACCATATTTCTTTTTAGCATTTTGACGAGTTATATTGTGTTCCAAGTGAGTTGTAATATCATCATTAATCATATTTTTGCGTAATAATCAATACATTGTTACTTGTGGCATTTTAACACGTTATTTGTCGCTACCATTTATGTTTGTGAGATTTATACATTCTTTCATGTTCAATCACTAACAATACAATATAAAATTAATTGTGCGAGAGTGCATGTTATAATTATAGAGTGCTGTGTTATATTATTATTATATTTTTTATATATTATATTTTTTTATATTTTATAATTATATTTTTTAAATTTCCTGTTAAGTTACACAAGGAATTATTTTGACTTTACAATTGACAGATTTAATGAGAATTTAAGAGAATCTTATTAATTAATCCTGTTAATATCATCTGCTAAATAAATTTATCGCTTGCAGCTTACTCCGTTTATAACTGCAGAATTTTCTCTTAAACTGGTCATCAAAGTTTGCTCGTCCATATTTTGTTTCATTGTTTTCGTAATTAAATATAGCTCATTCTGGATTAAGACTCAAACTGTAAGTTGGATTCTTGTTGTGTTTATCTTAAAAAGCTATCACGATAACGAAGATTTAATATACTGTAATTTATCGTAAATAATGAGAATCATAAGGTATTGCTGGCATGGCAGGTAAAATGGACATTGGAGCAATTGCAGCATATGTGTAACGAGTTAAAAGACGAGAATGAAATTGCCATTATAGAAAGATATGGGTACTATGCAAAATGTTCTACGTTTAGATTTACATGTAAGGCAACCATTTATTGTTCTTATGTAACTTTCTTTTTTGGAATCATGATAAAAAGAGTATGACTAATCACTTCGTTGCTTACGCAATTAGATGTTGTATTTCAATCGAAATAAGCATACAAAAAGTAGGGTATATTTAGTAGAGAAGAATATATTTTATTTTATATTTTAGTAGAGATTTTTCCGTTATCGAAATGGTTATTAAACGCAAAACTATTATCACTTAAATCTTTTTTAATAAAATGAATTCTTAATGATTAGTTTTTATGCGAAAATATTCACTGAACAGGGAAGTGGTTAAGTGGTGAATACACATCTTTCGAATATACAATTCAATATTTTGGCAGGTAGAAAATATCAACTTATACGATTGTATGTTTAAATATTCTTAGTGTTAACTGTGTGCGGTCTGTTTATTATCATTCTCCAGCCAATTTTGCCGCATACTTTTTATGCTTTTTTATTTGTAAACACATCGTATTCACGTTACAAAATACCGATTACGACAGAGTATTTTGTCGACGAAGAAAGGTATTTTTATTTACTTTTGCTGCATGTGGACATAGCTCTTTGTATAGGAATGATTGTACTGGTAGCGACAGGGACAATGCTCATAGCGTCTTTTAAACACGCCTGTGGAATGTTTAAGATCGCCAGGTGAAGTATAAATGTAACAATATATGCGAACATTATGATTATAAGTGAGTCGTATTTCCAGTTGTACGATCATTAATGTATGCTGACAATATTTACTTCATTTCTCACCTCAAACAAATTAGAACGAATATGTAAACGTTATAACGAAAATATTATTTATAGTTATCGTATCGAACGAGCGATTTCAATTACTATGGTGATGAATATTAATTTAGTGGATAAAATTACGATTTATAAGAGTTTAATTCATGCCATAGACATTCATCGCAAAACCATGCAGTTGGTATATTTATTCTGAAATATTTATGTTACCAATGAAATATAATACTTTCTTGTTCTTGAAGGTTCTCCACGGATTTAATGTCTAACTTTGAGATAACATTTCTTTTCTTAATAGTGTTTACTGTGCTTTCGTTGAGCCTCAATCTTTATCAAGTGAGTCCCCTCGCGCCTTTGTGCATACATATTTTGATAAGCAGTGTAAAATTTGGAAATTTGTTGATAAAAAAGGAAATTAAGGAAAGATTTAATACTTTATAATTTGTTTACCCTATATGATCATTTATTATTTATTTTTTATTTATTGTTTATTGTAGGTTATTCGCGTGGAGCGCTTATTATAATACAATCACAAAATGGCGTGTTAGATTTTTCAGATTATATCGTATGGGGCTGATGCGAAGGAACTGTTATATCATGTATCATATGTAGTTATTACTCTTATATACATGTTTATGGCCAATTATGTTGGGCAAGAAATTACAGATCACAATAACCACGTATTCTTCACTGTGTAAGAAATATTTTGACATGATGCCTCTGTTATTTTAATTTGATACGTTATCCAGAACTGTTTCTTTCTTTCTAGCTTTTTTTACTTTATACAAAAATATTTATAGTTTAAATGTCATTTTGCAGATATAATATTCGATGGTATATAGCACCTTTACACGTACAGAAATTGATATTATTTCTTTTGCAAAGGGGTGGTAAAACTTTTGGTTTGACTGTAGGTAAACTGTTTATATCATCTTTAGACTGTTTCGCCACGGTAAACAATTGTCATGTGTAAGAAGACATTTGACATAACTTATTTAGGACAGCTGATGCAAGCATGTTTTCCATTGCAGCTGACAAATGCATCGATGTCTTACTTTACTTTAATATATTCGATCCGGCAATAGTGAAAGGATTTATCATTACTCAATAGTACATTGAAAAACACGGTAGATATATGCAAACAGTTTCCCATGTCTTCGCTTCTACTTAGATATTGAATAAAACTATCGAGGATATATGTTTCTATTTCTTCACAAAAATCATATTTCATTAATGTTAAAAGTCACATTTATTACTAAAGCGTTTCTCCCGTGTATTAAGCTGCACTTTGTGTAAATTGCTTTTGCTTGATGAGATAAGTGATATCATGAAAAAGACATGATAGTCAAACGTACAAGAATCGTATTTCGTATCGTAAAAAGCTTCATATTACAATGTGGAATCTTTATGCTTTACCGACGATCTCTTCACTGCTGATGCATGGAGAAGGAGACGGGGAGAATATCGGACGATATTCTTTCTAAAGAACAGAAGTATCTTATACGAGTACACGCTAAATTACCGTGTGTGAAATTGTAGGGACTGGGGAAGAAGAGCAAATATACGCTTGCATAGAATTTGACCAACAAGTCGTTTTATGTGCGTTATTCTAAGGGGAATAAATGTACGTTGAATTTCTTTCCGTGTCAGATCGATAACCTAATTACCGACCACTTCCCCAGTGAAGTTGGTAACCTGCAAGTGTTCCCGTCTCACGGTGATGTTTTGTATCGCACTATTTCGTGCCGCATTTATGCTGAATTAAGCAATTTACGCTAAAATGTACAGTAGAAGAAGAAAGTTATAGACAACTCAATTCATCTATCGAAGAAGAGAGATGTGCAAAATTTGGTCCATTTTTTCACAATTAAATGCTCCTCGATTTTCGTAGCGGAATGATTTGTATCAAAACTCAACATTTTAACGCGTATTAGATTCTTCTTCTCACAGGTGGCCTTACAAGCGGTCACAGTTTGTGCGAGTTCAAATCGCCTTGTTTTATGATATTCTATTGAGTTTTATTGTATTTTAAGTGTGTTAATGATTTTCGTTACATTAGTATACTAAGTAATATTTTAATTATTATAGAGAGTAGAATTTAAATATTTAACAAGACTATGAAGCTCGCTAGAGTTTATCAATTCTCTGCAGATATATCTATTCACAGAGCTAGGAAGTGGTTAAGCGGTGAATAAATTTTAAATAAACATACTCCTCCGAAAATTCATTGCAATTGAAAGTTGCTCATTCATATGACTATTACTGCTATATTTAATTGTCTTTACGGTATTTACCACATACGGTCTATTTGTCATTATTGTGCTTCCAATCCTCTCGCGTATTGTTGATGCGTTTTCGTCTATAGTTACACACACGTTCTTTGTTACGACTGGAGCATTATTCAGTGGTATGGCAAGTACGCGTTAAGTGATACGGTATTTGTTAGCACTTTGTTGCTCGCACTCCGCACGAAGCTGTCGCGTTATTTGACCCAAGCAAACGTTGCCTGCAAAAGCCGTATTTAGTTTTTCTTTTCGGCTGCAGATAAATGTCGATACAAGAGAACTTACTCAATTTAATCATATGTGCATGTGTAATCGTTAACTAATCGCCTTCTTCTTGTCGCGACATTGACATATGATATCGGCGATCCGCAACGTCGAAATTCGCGTGTCATCGATATACGGTCGGCGAGGTGTAACGTTGGAGGAGACGCGACTATAATGTGCTGGCGAGCTGCAAAATGATAATGTGTCCGTGCGTGCATTAAGTCTTCGAACCTTTTCCAAGAGAGATCTGCGGGAACGTTCAAGTGTTATTAGGTAAATATTTTACCATTGGTAATTCTGTACTCGGTACCTTGCAGTAGCGACGGATCAGTCGAGACAGTGGGGTGCTGCAAATGCACTGCCAAGTGGACATTTCGACCAACAATTGTTTCACAGATGTTATTCTATGGGAAATGAACATATGCATATGTTGAATTTCTTTCTGTGATCGATCGATAGCTGGCTTCTTCCCCCTCAAAGTTATTAAAGTGCGCGTGACTTGACCGCACGGTGATATCACCCTGAGTTTATTTCTAATTGTACAATTTGCAGAATTTATGCTAAACGAGAAGAGGGTAATAGAATATAGTCGTTCGATCGATTGGAAGTGAAGGTTTTGCAAAACCTTTTCATGACTTTTTCACAGTCAAACGCGTTTCGATGTTCGTAGCGATATGATTTGTATCGAGACTCAACATTTTAATCTTAATCGAATTCTTTTGTTCGTGACAGGTTTATGGCCCTATCGGCGCTCAAGCCTCGTTCGATTTCAATTTGCCTTGTTTCTCTGTATTATGATAAGCTTTATTATATTCCAGGTATGTCGATATTAGCTATAGTAGTAGCTGTAGCAATAATTAATGCATCATTATTTGTAGTCAGTGTTTATTTCTCGCACGTTTTAAATATAATAGCTGTGTTTAATTAGTGTTAATAACTGACGATAAGCGAAAGACCCGACAATTTCTCACATACATAATAATCTATGAATTAAACATAGCAATAATTAAAAATGAAAACATTTCTTTTTTAATATAATTTGTCTATTCAGTAAATATATTGTTTGCAGATGACAACGTTTATAACTACAGAATGCACTATTGATCTTCTTGTCAATGTTATTTGTTCCATATTGTTTTTTATTCCTTTCCTGATTAAATACTGCTCATTTTATATTAATATTCAAACTGTAAGTTAGACCTTAATTATATTTGTCTTATAATAAGTACCTCATAATAATAAGAATATTGATTCATAATTACATTTTAGAAATTTTTATAAACGAACCAACTTTTGTTTTGTAGTTAAAATATTTACTAGAGAAACTTCAGCATATCTGTAATGGATTAGAGGACAAGAACGAAGTAGCTATTATAGAAAAATACGGATACGATGGGAAACGTTATACGACTAATATTATAAGTAAGACAATATAAGCGTAACAGAGTGAAATTAGTCAGAGTGTAAAACAAATAATTAACCATTTTGCTGCTTTACTACTTTGTGTTTAACTGGACATTGTGAATATTTTACTACACGAGCATATAATAAAAAAAATATCTGTACAAACAAAATTATAAATGTGAATATATTTCAATGAGACAATTTATCATATTTATTATTAAAAGTAAAATTTTATAAAATTATTGAAAATAGAGATGTATACATATTAACTGAAACGGTCTAAGTATGCGCACACGTATATAAACAGTTTTCCTTAAAAATATTAACAAATATATAACAATTTAACACTTTTTGAAAAATTAAAAGCGATTACTTTCATGACATTACATTTTTAAATGCCCTTTAGTGTTGACTGTGTGCGGTGTATTTATTATTCTTGTGCAACCGATTCTTCCGCGAATCATTGGTATGCTTTTGTGTATAAACACGTCTCAGTCGCATAACACATTTTGGATTTCTGAATACTTTGTCGAGCAAGACAGGTACTTCTACTTAATTTTGCTGTACGTGAATGCAGCGTTTTGTATAGGAATGTTTACGATAGCAGCGACAGGATCGATGCTCTTGGCTCTTCTCAAACATGCCTGTGGAATATTTAGCGTTGCTAGGTGAACAATTAAATATAATAGTGGTACGAAGAAGTACGAAAATTTTGGCCATAAACAAAAAAATGTCGTTTCAAATGAGTCAGAATATTCAGAATATATTCATCCTTACTTGATGACCTGTTGAAAATTATTCAGGACTATGATCTTGATAATACACATCAAGGTCAGTGTCTTTGGAAGAGGTAAGTAAGGATGAATATTTACCGAATATATAACTGCAACAAGAAAAATTATGCTTACAGTTATCGTCTTGGACAAATTATGACAACTGATGCACGGCGAAATCATTTAACGCATAAGCTTACGATTAAGAAAAGGATTATTCATGCCGTAGACATTCACTGCAAAGCTATGGAGTTTGTATTTATCCGATATCGTCTATTTAACGCACGTAATATTACTTTTGACAATAGCATTTTTTTGTTTTTCATAGGTATTCTGAATTCTTAATTTCTAATTTTGAGGGATCATTTTTCTTGCTAATTATATTTGGCGTGCTTTGCTTGAGTTTTAATCTTTTTCGAGTAAGTTTTGTTAAATATATAATTAAACGAGTAAAATTATGTTACATAATTTTTAAATATATAGATTATATAATGCATGATGAGTAGAATATGAGTGGAAATATCAACCGTAAGACTAATAGAAAATTTAAATTCTCCAGGTTATTTTATAGTATCAAAATACGACCAAAATACGATAGTATCAAAATTCAAAATTATAAACTGTCATAAATAGAGTAGGAACACATAGGTTAGGAAAACATTTTGTACGTGACGCACATGTCTTCTTTTTTCTTAATTATTTTACCATATAAATCGTATTTTCTAAACAAAAAATTATTAATTTTGCAAAACGAATTTTACACACACACACATTTAAATAATTTTTTATCATGTTGCTTTAGATTTTTCAGCTTGTATCAACGACAAACAACATGTACGAGTTTTCTATGCGTGTATTATGTGCATCGGCAGTTATTATCTACATGTTTATGGCCAACTATATCGGACAGCAAATTGTGGATCACAATGAACATGTACATTTTACTGCGTAAGATATAATTAATACTTTTATTCGATATTTTTTTTAATTATATGCAAGTAGTTGCTTTGAAAAGTTAGTGGTGAAGATAAAAGTACAAGTTAATATATTTTCAACAACATGTTAAAATTTCTGAATATCTTTAGTTCATCTTTTTACTTGTTTCTTTCTGATTCTTTCAAATCTTTGTAATTCGATGCAAAGAAAATTATAACTGGATCTCGGAGGAAGCATTTTAAATAAAAGTTTGAAGCTTTCAGATCGCTTTTATAAAGAACTAACACGATGTTTCGCACACCACGTTATAATTCACATAGATATATATGGCTGGTACGAGGAAGAAACATCTTTCGTGTTCAATCTAATCGATAAGAAGAGGGTAAACAAGGAAATAAAGAATCTTATTTTCTAGATATAACGTTCAATGGTACACAGCGTCCCTGGATGTGCAAAGAATGATACTGTTTGTATTGCAAAGAGGTAGCAGAATCTTTGGCTTGCATGTAGGTGGGCTTTTTGTAGCGTCCCTAGAATGTTTTGCCGCGGTAAGAAATGTATCGTGCATTGAGATACATTTAACATAATGTATTGCAAGCACGACGTAATAGAAAACATCTTCCATTGCAGCTGGCGAGTGCATCGGTATCTTACTTTACCGTCATATATTCTACACAACGTTGATGCAAAATGCCATCGTTCGACGATATATACATATATGTATATATTGCAATATAGTTAGTAATCGTTGTATGAATGACATGACGATCAGTACGTAACAGTAAGATAATCGTCTTCGATGCTTTACTTAAAAGTAAACCACGGAAACATTCAAGCTATTAGATTTATACTTTACCGTTGATTGATAATCCCGTATATCTGGCATTTCGCAGTTGCGACGGGTTCGCCGACGTTCCTCTCGAAGACCATGCGCGACTTACGGCTGCTCGTTCTATAATGAAACGCGTGCAGGACTGGGGTAATGCAAGTGCGCTTGCGTGAATGTTTCGATCAACAAGTCATTCTATGGATGTTTTATTCTATGGGAAATAAACACATGTGTACATTGAATTTCTTTCGAAATCGGATCGATAGCCTAATCGCAGACCTTTTGCCCAGCAAAGTCACTAAAATACCGGTGCTTCGATCTCACGGTAATATTTCGCGCGTCATCCTACATTTATATCTAGTTATACAATTTCCTCTAAAAATTATGCTAAACAAAGAGGAGCCATAGAATAATCGCTTGATCGCTTGGAATAAGGTCTTGCGAAACCTTGGTCGACTTTTCTACAATCAAACGCTGTTCGACATTTGTAGCGAAATGATTTCCATCGAGACTCAACGTTTTAATATTAATCGGATTCTTCTGCTCATAATTGGCTTATGGCCTTACCAGCGATCGAGACTTGTCCGCTTTCAGACCATCGTATTTTTCGGTATCTTGATGAGTTTTATAATATGTCAGGTATAATATTTTACGGCTTTCACGGTATAGAGGAATATTTGATTTGTTTTCTGGATTTGTACATGTGTGTGTGTGTGTGTGTGTGTGTTGTCTTTGTTGTGCCAGAAACTGCTTCTGAGTGTTCCTCTCCTTGAAGAAGTGAATTGGAATGTTTACGAAACGTCGGAAACAAATCCAAGATGGATACGATACATACGTGCAAACCAGAAATCAAATCAAATATTTCAAGTATTTTATAAATCAATTTTCCTACATTATTTTATTACAAATATACATAAAAGTAATTGACTATTTTTAATTGGCACTTTGCTACTTAAATAATAAAGTAGCTTTTAATGTTATTATTTCAATAAATTTATTGTTCGCAGAGTACAGTGTTTCTGACTGCAAAATGCACTACTGATCTACTTATCAATGTTTTCTCTTCTGCATTATTATGCTTTCTTCTATTGATTCAATTTATCTCGTTCTGGAGTAATACCCGAATTGTGAGTTGAAATTTTGTTTAGCATCTTTACACACTAAATATTATCAACACGTGAATCTTTACATACAGAAAGTTTGTCAAATATTATATGACAAGTAACATAAAATATTATTTACATGACAGGTAAAATATTTACTGGAACAACTCCAGGAAATCTGTAATGAGCTAAAAGATGAGAATGAAATTGCAATTATAAAAAAATACGGCGATAAGGCGAAACATGTTACTGTTTTTCTTACGTGTAAGATAACGTCCGTGAGACTTATTGATACATGTTGGAAAGCGTAATAAGTTAAAATCGTGATAAAAAATTAGTCGGTTAACCACTTTGTTACTTGGCATATATATATGTAATTTAATATTAGACTACTACAAAAATACGAAAATATAATAAATATCTACTAATACAGAATTACAAGTCTAAATATACTTCGACAATGACATCTGAGAATTTAGTTATTATTAAAAATAGAACAAATTGAAGTATTTCGATTATTAGCTTTCTGTTGAAATACATTTTAATTATATATATATATATTAATATGTATGTAAGAAGTGGTTACACGATGATTCTTTGTCTTAACAATTCTTTATTACCGAATATTAGAAAATACCAATTTATATAACTAGATTTTTTAATGCTCCTAGTGTTAATCGTGTGCACTCAAGTTATTATTATTGTTCAGCCAATTTGGTCTCGCATTCTTGGAATTTTTCTGTTCTTGAATGAATCTCGGTCACGTGGCGAAATGTTCATTGTGACAGAATACTTTGTAGATCAACAAAAATATTCTCACTTAGTTTTGCTGCATATAAATGTAGCTATTTGCATAGGGTTATTTGCAATGATTGCAACAGGAACGATGCTTCTGGTGTTTCTCAAACATGCTTGCGGAATGTTTAGCATCGCCAGGTGAAAAAACGAATATAACAATGGATACGAAAATTTACGATTACAATTAAAATTTAGTTTTGCACGTTAAGTAAATTTAAAAAAATTACACATATAATTACAGCGAGAAAATTTGCAGTTATCGTATTAAACGAGCAATTGCGAATAATATGCCACAAAATACTAATCTATCGGACCAGAGTATAATTTGTAAGAAGATAATCTGTGCGGTAGACATTCATCGTAAAGCTATGCAGTCGGTATTTATTCGATAACACTTACCTCTCTAGTAAATGTAATAACACTCCCTTCTTCTTAAAGATACTCCGATTTTTTAATATCCAGCTTTGAAGGATCGTTCTTCCTTTTAATTGCGTTCGGCGTGACTAGTATGAGTCTTAATCTTTTCCGAGTGAGTTTTCCTTTTTTTCTTTAAACGTATCTATGGACGAGCAGTTAATGTTTCATAATATAATATTTAAATATATTGACAACATGTACAGAAAAAACATGAATAATATAAATTATCATTTTACATTATTAAAAATTTATTAATGATTTATTCAAGATAATTGAGTATAAAACCAATCTGTGTGAATATCAATGTTTACAAACGATATTATCCAAACCAATGATATTTACAATATTAACATCACTTGATTTTAGCTTTTTCAGCTTGCATTGTCCGGAGATAACAAACAGGAACTTTTAGTACGTTTTATATGTGCAATTCTTATTCTCTTATACATGTTCTTAGCCAACGAGATCGGACAGGAAATTACAGATCATAATGATCAAATATATTTTACAGCGTAAGAAATATTTTTACATTGTAATTACATTTGTGCACTAGTAGCTATTTTCTGGATCAACATAAAGTTTAATGTAATTTTTAAAGTGCAACACACATATTAAATATCATCTATTTGTCTTTTTGTTTCCCTCGAATTTACATTTTAATCATTGTACCATAGATACATAGTTCGGTGGTATACAGCGCCCTTACATGTGCAAAAACTGATATTATTTCTGATACAAAGGGGTAGTAAACCCTTTGGGTTGCATGTGGGTAGACTATTTGTCGCATCTTTAGAATGTTTTGCAACGGTAAAATATATCGTATATCTAAATATGTTTAAGGCTCGAGCGGTCGAGTGCGAAAGTTGATGCTTCTTTATTTGCAGTTAGCGAGTGCATCAATATCTTATTTTACCGTTATGTATTCTGTACAAAAGACATACAATACACCTATCATATAATAATATATTGGAATGTAGTAGGTAAGGATGACAAATTTTCAACTATATTCTTAATAAAAAAAACTTCAATTTCAGTCCTATATATTATTTTTTCTCAAGTTTCCATTTTATTCGAAATATTTTAAGCAATTTACAACTAATTTTATGCAAATTCGTACAATATCATAATTTTTATGCAACATTTAAAATATTTAAGTGTCAAAGTATATTCATTTATTATTATATACATCGAAAATTGTAAAATATATGCAAACATGGTTTTAGTAAAATCTAATCATTTTAAATGACTCAAAGTGTATCCGGTGATCGCGCTGACGCCAATATATCTTGTTGGAAGATAATTTTATTCCGAACAACGTGATAGATAATACCATGGGAGATATGCTAGGTGAGCGTTTAATGAGATCGAATACACTTGCGTATTTAATGTTCATCAGATATAAATGAATATATCGACCGATCGAGTGCCCACAGAGAAGCTTGATATATATATATATATATATATAATTCGTCAATTCTTTTCATTTCTTCGCAAAATTGTGAAATTGAATCACGCTATTAATCACAAATGTCGAGATGCGCCAAGTATTAGTGCGGTTCGACCGTTGAATATAGCTATAACTTTAACAATGTTAGTGTATCCGTGTGTACGCTAAATTTTTTTAGCACTAGCAACCGTAAGACGATACCGCACGTTAGTAGAGCTTACTTCACTGACGATAACTTCACAGTTGACATGTCAAACTTGAATCAAATGAGAGTGACATTCTCTCGCAGACCAAACGTGTCGTACAAATACTTGCGACGCAATGAACCAACAGAAAGAGTGACTACGCTTGCGCGAACTATGGTCAACAAGTCGTCTCACGAATGTTATTTCGTGAGAAATTACACATGTTGAATTTTTTCCGTGTTATGTCAATAGCCTAATCGTAGGCGATTTCATCCTGACAAAGTCATTAAAATACAAGTGTTACGGTCTCACGAAGGAGTATATTGCGCCGTGTCATATCACTTATGTTGAATAATGCAATTTACGTTCGAATTTATAGTAGGCGAGACGGAAATTATATAATTCACGATCGATCGTCCAGGAGGAAGGACATGTACAAATTTTTGTCAACTTTATCGCGGTCAGATGTGTCTCGATGTTCGTAAAGAAATGATTAATATCGAGTCTCAACATTTTAGCCTTAATCGGATTCTTTTGCTCGCGGTGGGCTTGTGGCCTTACCAGCGCACGAAATTCGTTCGATTACGAGTCGTCTTACTTTTTAGCATTCTAATTGGGTTTATTGTATTTCAGGTATGTCCGTATTTAATCGTATCGTATTATGCAATAGATATTATATTGTCGTCTTTACAACTATTTAGTTAAACACAATTTAGTTTCGATGCAACCTAGTTTCTATGCATGGAGAAATTTGTCTTGTCGTAAGAAAAACCCGTTTTGATAATAATTTGTATAACGTGAAATTTACGTATTAAATCTGTAGAGTGAGCAAAGCAGTACTCGCGCATATCTCATTGCTTCTCGAAACAAATTTGCATACACTAAGTAGAAAAAATAGCTTCCGACATATTTTATATATTATAGAAACATCTACTCTTTTTTTATATATTTTTATATATTTTTTATAGTATTCGTTACATCAAAAGTAATATATATAATTTATATATGCGAAGAAAATCCGAACTAATTTAGATATACAGAATATCTATATGAAACCTTCAGTATACATATAAGTTGGATTAATCGAAATGAATTTATATGTAATATGACTCCCCTGAAATAAATTCAATCGAGGTCGCGTATAATTGTGATATAATCTGAAACGTATTTTTTCTGAAAAACTCATACTATATACCACGAACATTTTTATTTTTTATATCAAGATATAGAATATGTGCTCGCACATTACGTATATTGATAATTTTTCGATTCGCGCATGCGCACGCACATTGTTATGCATCGTAAAGCGAATGATCACTTCAAACTTGAATATGAAATAAATATTAATAACTTTCCAAATGTTATATATTTTATCGCTTGCAGCTTACACCGTTTATGACCGTACAACTTTCTCTTAACCTTGTTGTTAAAGTTTTCTCTACCATGTTATTACTCGCTACTTTTGCGATTAAATACAACTCATTTTTAGTTAACATCCGAAACGTAAGTTGAGTTTTCTTAATACTTGTCGTAATATATATTTCTATATATCCAGCTCCTTTTTCTTTTCTTTTTTTTTAAGACGAATATATTATATAATTAATTCTGTAGGTAAAGTATTTAATGGAGCAACTTCAGTGTATATGTGATGAATTGAGAGATGAGAACGAAATTGCTATTTTAGAAAAATATGGCCGAGATGCGAAACGTTATACAATTAATATTTTACGTAAGAAAACATCTGTTAAATTTCATTATTTGTGATAAAAGGAATATATTTCATTTAAGTTATTATGAAAGATTTTTAAATTAAACGGAAAAGATAAATTATTACATAACAAAATAGTTCGTAAAAACGTCCGAGACAAAGACTAGTAGTTGAATGATAAATAAATTTTGAGTATACTGAACAAATGGAAATCTATAAAATTTTAATTTATAAAAATTATTCTTCTAAATATTCTCAGTTTTGACCGCAACCAGTCTAGTTATTCTTATTGTCCAACCACTCGGGCGATGCATTTATAATATTCTACCGTTTACAAACGGGTCTCGATCATATTGCACCGTACCGATTATAACTGAATATTTCATCGATCAAGAAAAATATTTTTATATTATTATACTGCATATGAGTGCAGCTTTTTCTATAGGAACGATTATATTGATAGCAACAGGAACATGGCTGGTAGTGTCTCTTAAACATGCTTGCGGTATATTCAAGATTGCCAGGTGAAAAAATGAAAGTAGTGTATAAAATTATAATTGTGTCTAACGAAACAATCTTACTTTCGCAATCGAAATTGAAATTAATAACAATAGAAAAATTATTTACAGTTACCGCATTGAACGGGCGATAACAAATAACTCTTTGAAGAATAACAATCTGAAGAACAAGATTACGATTTATAAAAGAATAATTTATGCAGTAGAAATTCATCGCAAAGCCATGCAGTATTTATAATTATTTATAATTATTTATAGCAATATATAAATATATATGTAATAAAATTTTTTTGTTTTTTGTAGGTTCGCAGGAAATGTAATAAATAAGTTTGACAGTACATTCTTCTTTTTAATTACCTGTGGTGTGGCTTGCTTAAGTTTTAATCTTTTCCGCGTAAGTTTTATTACGTTTTAAATATATCTAAAAATAAACTGTATAAAAGAAAGAAATTTTTCATACCAATATGTCTTAGATCTTTCAGATAATGTCGTTTAGAAAAAATATGGAGGAAATGATATTACATCTTTTGTTAGGAATTGTCATTATTATATATATGTTTTTAGCCAACTATGCCGGACAGGAAATTACTGATCATAATAATCACGTATATCTTACAGCGTAAGAAACAGTTTTACGTAACGCTCAAAATTATAATATATAATTTGAAATAATTATAATTTATAATTAAAATAAATTTAAAATGATATTCAATCGATTTACAATCAAGTTTTTGCTGTAATTTCTCACGTGTGCATAAATTTAGTTGAGTTATAGAAATTTCTTGAATAATCCTAAAGTTTTCAAAGACACAAATATACAATAAAATCTTGATCACACGATAAATTAAGATAAACGAAAGTAAATTCTAAACAACTTGATAGGTACAACGTTTGCTGGTACATAGCACCTTTACATGTGCAGAAACTGATTTTATTTCTATTGCAAAGAGGAAGTAAAACATTCAGCCTGACCGTAGGCGGCTTGTTTACAGCATCCTTGGAGTGTTTCGCTTCGGTACAAAATACATCATGTATTAGAATATATTTAACGCAGCGTATTTCGAGTAGATAACAATAGACGATATCTTTCATTATAGTTGGCGAGTGCGTCGGTATCATACTTTACCGTTATGTATTCTATGCAACAGTGATATAGTCATCATTCAATATCGTAATATAGTAGGTAAATGTTAAAAAAGCATTCGTAAAAAAAACGTAGTTCATGAATTTTGCATGAACGCTACAGTTGAATAAACTTACGCAAGATACATTTCGATTTTTTAACTCGTTAATGCTACTTATTGTGTGGGCCATTTATTGGATACCTTTAATATACAAATATTTCAATAGTCATACACATATACATTTTAACAGTCTTTTCATTTCTGTCTTAGTGTAATTAAAACGAATATTTATAATTCTTACAAAATTTGCAATTTCAGGTTGCAAATAGAAACTATTTTTATGTGTATTGGATGGCATTGTATATGGTATATTTAATAAATATAAATAACGCAACCATTTTTCAAATAACACATAGTTAAAGTCGTTGAGTTCAACGTTTCTGGAAATAACACTTAGCGATAATATCAATCGAACGAAAACGAACACAGAAACACAACACACCTCAAGACGAGATTATATGTTAATAGAACTTTATATTACATCGACGATAATTTCACAACAAATACTGAACACAATATTGAACTTGCGCCAGATGAGAGTGATATTTCTTCACAGACCAAACGTGTCATACGAGTACTTGCGACAGAATGAAATAACTGAAAGAGCGACTACGCTTGCGCGAATTTTGACTGACGAATTGTCTCACGAATGTTATTTCGTGAGAAATTAACATGTGTTTGAATTCTTTCCGTATTATGTTGATAGTCCGATTGCCGGCGATTTCACTCCGACAAAGTCATTAATGCAAGTGTTACAGTCGCAGGGTGGTGTATATCGCATCGCTTTGTGTCACACTTATGTTCAGTTATGCAATTTGCGTTAGAATTCGCGGTAAGCGAGACGGAAATTACATAATTCGCAATTGGTCATTCGGAAGGAGGGATATATAAAAATTTTCGTCAACTTTGTCGCGGTCAGATGTGTCTTGATGTTCGTAAAGAAATGATTAATATCGAGTCTCAACATTTTAGTCTTAATCGGATTCTTTTGCTTGCCGTAGGTTTATGGCCTTATCAGCGAACGAAATTCGTCCGATTCCGCGTCATCTTATTTTCCAGCATTTTGATGAGTTCTATTATATTTCAGGTATGTCGATATTTTATAATCGCGTTATTAGGTAATAACTATTACATAGTCTGTGCATTAGTATAATTTAACACAATTTAGGTTCGACGGAATCTACATATCGAGAAATTTGTCCTGTCGTAAGGAAAACCTGTTTTAATAATAATTTATAATGTGAAAGTTACGTATTAAATCTGTATAGTGAACAAAGTAGTATTCGCATATATACATACCTCAATGCTTATACAAATAACTTTGCGTACCTCAGATAGAAAAAAAATGTTTTTGGTATACAGAGTGAAGAAAAAACCCCGGGACCCCTGAAAATTTCGAAAATTATACACTTTATAAAAAAATGTTTCAGACAAAAGTTGTAGCGTTGAAAAAGATCTATTTACCGATCTTAACAATTTGACCTTGGATGGCGTCATCAACAAGGGTGGATCAGGACAAGGTCACCTCGAATTTTTTAAATGGAACCCCCAATTTTTTACTACATATTCTTATAGCCCTTCTTCAGACCTTTTCAAAGCACTATGGTTTTATCTAATTTGAATAAGCTGTTTCGAAGTTGTCGAGTTTTTTAAAGTAAGATATCTAACCAACTAAGGCAAGATCGGAGGATGATCCAGCCAACTAAGACAAGATCGGAGGATGACCCGGCCAACTAAGGCAAAATCAGAAAGGATGATCCAGCCAACTAAGGGAAGATCGTAGGATGATCCGACCAACTAAGGCAAAGTCAGGAGTTGTCCGGCCAACTAAGGCAATACTGGAGAGCTTTAAAATAATTGTTCAAAATGTCCGCCATCAACAGTTTGACAATAAGCTAATCTATCGTAGAGAGATGAAACGACTTTTTGAATGTAATCAGCAGGGATGAGAGCAGCTTCATCAAGAATTCGATTTAGTAAATCATCCAAATTTTGTGGTTTCGTTTCGTTTTGTAAACTCTATCTTTTAAATAGCCCCACAGGAAGTAATCGTTAGGTGATAAATCGGGTGATCGAGGAGGCCATTCTATAGATCCTCTTCTACCTATCCATCGATGAGGAAACACTGTATCCAGATAATTACGGACGTCCCATCTTGTTGAAACCATGTATGCTCGAAATTGTCATCCATGATTGCTTGTATCGCTGGAACTATTTCGTTTCTTAGCATATTCTCATATTTTATCGCTGTTAGATTTCCGTCAATAAAGAGTGGATCTATGAGAATATTATTCAAAATGCCTTAAACCCAAACATTCACTTTTTGTGGATACTGCGTGTGTGTTTTTTTAATCCAGTGAGGATTTGTATCTGACCAAAATCTACAATTGTGTCGATTAACGTGGCCATTTAACTGAAATGTTGCCTCATCTGAAAATATTACATTTGATAGATAGTTAGGATCTTCGGCTATTTTTTCCATCATCAAATCACAAAATTCAATGCGCCTATCAAGATCATCTTCATTTAGCTCTTGTACAAGATGGATCTTATAAGGATGAAATTTATTCATTTTCAATATTTTAAGCACAGACATTTGATCTATTTCATGTTGCTGTCCTACTTTGCGAGTCGAATCATGCGGATTTTCGATAAAGGATTGTAGAACATCTAATGATTTTTCTACACTTGTTGCTGATACTGGCCTACTTAGTATTGCACGATTTTTCACACTTCCATTTTCCTGAAAACACCTTATCGTTCTTTCAACGGTAGATTTTGAAATGGCATTACCCTGTTTACGAAAAGTTTCATTAAAAAGCCGCCTCACATCATTGTACGACCTTAGTCGATCATCCCATACTCTCATCAAAAGAGATACGCGTTCTCGTTCTGAAAGACTTGCCATATTGACAAGCAGAAGTGATAAGACTTAATCTAATCGACTAAATTAATATTTGGATCAATTCAAAATTATTCTAAAGACAGTGCTGAAGAATAATAATGAGCACGGAATGAAGTGCAATTAAGTCAGCTTACAACTAGCTTCAAACTGTTTCTTAATAATTTTCAAAAAAATAGAGGAATTTCAGTCGAGTTTGCGATTCACTAAACTGTAATGAGTATTAAATGAGTAAATGGAAGAAATAAACATCGAACAGCAGAATAGTTCAAATAAATAAATAACTGAAATAAATCAATCAACGAAATTAAGACAAGCCAATAGGAGCCAACGCCTGGAAGGTAGTCGCGCAATTATTTTTACGAGTTGGCTGGATCGTCCTCCGATCTTGTCTTAGTTGGCTCGAATACTCCGACTTTGCCTTAGTTGGCCGGATCATCCTCCGATCTTGCCTTAGTTGGCCGGATCATCCTACGACCTTGCCTTAGTTGGCCGGATCATCCTTCGACTTGCCTTAGTTGGCTAGATTTCTTACTTTAAAAAACTCGATAACTTCAGAACAGCTTATTCAAATTGGATAAAACCATAGTGCTTTGAAAAGGTCTGAAGAAGGGCTACAAGAATATGCAATAAAAAATTGGAAGCTCCATTTAAAAAATCCGAGGCAACCTTGTCCTGACCTTGATGACGCCACCCAAAATCAAATTGTTAAGATCAGTAAATAGATCTTTTTCAACGCTACAACTTTTGTCTGAAATATTTCTTTATAAAGTGTATATTTTTCGAAATTTTCAGGGGTCCCGGGGTTTTTTCTTCACCCTGTATATTTGACATTGGAATATATACTCTCTTTTCTATAATACCTGCATCAAAAGCATGTGCGTGATTTTATGCATAATGAAATTCTAAGTTATTTGTTGATGAAATAAATATATAATTTTTCAAATATTATTTTACATATATTTATTATTTGCAGCTTACGACGTTAATCACGGGACCACTCTCCCTTAATTCTATTGTTAATGTTTTTTGTACCGCATTATCTTTTTCTACCTTCGTTATTAAATTCAATTCATTTTGGATTAACGTTCAAAGTGTAAGTTGAGCCTCATCATGCTTTTCGTAAAATATTTTTACATGTCCAACTTCTTTCGCTTAAAGGACGAGAAATAGTACATAGTTGATTTTATAGGTAAAGTGTTTAATGGAGCAACTTCAGCGTATCTGTGATGAATTGAAAGATAAGAACGAGATTGCTATCTTAGAAAAATATGGACGAGATGCGAAACGTTATACAATTAATATTTTATGTAAGAAGATATCTTTTGATTCTATTTATATGTGAAAGAAGAGATGCATTTTATTTAAGTTATTATTATAAAAGAGAATTTCTAATTTAACGGAAAGAAAAAATTATTATACAATAGAGTAGTTTTTGTAAGAATGTTTCAGACGAAAACTAGTAGTTAGTTGACAAATAAATATTGACTATATTGATATCGAACGGTTCGAAAGCTTTAGTTTATGAATATTTCTCAAAATATTTTTAGTGGTGACCGTATGCAGTCTTGCCGTTATTATTGTCCAGCCATTCTGGCCGTACATTTATAATGTCCTACCGTTTATGAACGGTTCTCGATCATGCTGTACCCTGCCGATTGTAACTGAATATTTTATCGATCAAGAAAAATATTTCTACATCATTATATTACATATGGACGTAGCTTTTTGTATAGGAGCGATTGCAATGATAGGGACAGGAACATGGCTAGTAGTATCTCTTAAACATGCCTGCAGTATATTCAAGATTGCCAGGTGAAAAAATGAATGTAGAAGTGTGTGTAAAACTATGATTGTGTCTATCGAAATGTTGCATTTTTATTCGGAGTTGAGATTAATACAGAGAAATTATTTGCAGTTACCGTATCGAACTAGCAATAGCAAATAATTGTTTCATTAATAACGATCTGGAAGACAAGATTACGATTTATGAAAGGATAACTTACGCGGTAGACATTCATTGCAAAGCTATGCAGTTGGTATTTATTTAGCAATATATAAATAATATGTGTAATAAAATTATTTTATTTTTGGCAGGTTCGCAAAAAATGTAATAACTAGTTTTGACAGTACATTCTTTTTTTTAATCGTGGTTGGTGTAGCTTCCTTAAGTTTTAATCTTTTTCGCGTAAGTTTTATTATGTTTAGATATATATATATATATTTTATATAAATTAATTGTGCAGAGAAAATAGAAATTTTCTATACTTTAATGTTTTAGGTTTTTCAGGTAATGTCATCTGGAAACGATATGGAGGAAATGATATTACGTCTCCTTACAGGGATGATCATTATTATATATATGTTTTTAGCCAACTATGCCGGACAGGAAATTACTGATCATAATGATTACATATATCTTACAGCGTAAGAAATAGTTTTATATGACGCTCAAAATGATATATGTAACCACATTGTAAAATTCGAAATGATATTCCATTGATCTATAATCAAGATTTTGTTGTAATTTGTCACGTATACTTAAAAATTTAGGGGGGTTAGATAGAACCTCTCTTAAGCTGGCGGGACCAACTGGGCAGAATCGATTCAGACCCATTGCATTATTTAGTACTTATTTTGTATTAATTTGTACCATCGATAAAAATCTTTTATTATTATGTGCAGTTTAAAAAAAAAACGTGGCGCTGCTAGCTTAATATTAAGCTAGCAGAACCACATTAAAGAAAAAATAAAAAAATAAAACAAAGGTAGAAATGAAAAAGACTGAATTTGGACTAATTTGTGCCATTAAAAAAAACTTAATATATCAAACTGTTTGAAACAACCTCTAATTGAATTAAAATCTGATATACTCAAGAGTAAAGTGTCTTTGCACGAACCTAATCAATGGTTATTTTTACATAAGAAGCAACATAATTTGTACTGTTAAAATATAAAGTTTCAGATTTTATACCCTCGCCGTTCCTTCGGAAATTATCCCGAATTCTCATTAGTTTCAAGAGTAAAGTACCCTTTTGCATAAGCAGAATCAATCGTTACTCCTACATACGAGGGTAGTCCCAGAAGTACCTGACTTGACGTAGATAGCGGTTATTGTTTGAAAAGAATGACTATGGTAGAAAGTACCAACCTTATAAAGCTTAAGTTTGAAGTTTGACTCGCTACGTTGTTTAGTATTTGTTTGGCAGCCATCAATAGTGAACGCTCTCAGGGAATTTGTAAACATGGAAAAAATTGCTCATCGTTATGTGATACAATACTTTCATTTGAAAGGCCTCAGTCAACCAATATCAAAGCGGAGCTAGATTCTATTCTGCGGGAATCTGCTCCTTCGTTTACAACAGTAAAAGTTGGGTAGCAGAGTTTAAACGAGGCCGTACGAGCTGCCAAGACGAACATCGCAGTGGTCGACCAAATGAGGTGACCACGCCAGAAATGGTGAAGAAAATCCACAAAATGGTATTGGATGACCGTCGACTGAAAGTGTGCGAGCTGGCAGACATGTTAGGCATTTCAAAAAGTGCTGTACATCGCATATTGACTGAAAATTTGGACATGAGAAAGCTGTGCGCAAGATGGGTGCCACGATTTGAACAAAAACAGCGTCATGAGGATGTTTCAATCGAGTGTTTGGCGAAATTTCGCAGCAATAAAGCCGAGTTTTTGAGTCGATTCATAACCATGGATGAAACATGGATCCATCACTTCACACCTGAGACGAAGGAACAGTCAAAACAATGGACTGAAAGGGGAGAATCGGCTCCAAAGAAGGCGAAAACAGTTCCATCTGCAGGCAAGATCATGGCGTCAATTTTTTGGGATGCGCGTGGGATAATTTTCATTCATTATCTTCAGAAAAGGAAAACAATCAACGGCGAGTATTATGCGAACTTATTGCAGCGTTTGTGTGATGAAATCAAGAAAAAACGGCCGCATTTGGCGAAAAAGAAAGTTTTGTTTCATCAAGACAATGCACCAGTTCACACATCTGTTATCGCGATGGCCAAAATCAATGAGTTAAAGTTCGAATTGCTCCCTCACGCACTCTATTCGCCAGATTTAGCCCCCTCGGATTATTTTCTGTTTCCAAACTTGAAAAAATGGCTCGGTGGTAAAAGATTTGCCAACAATGAAGAGGTGGAGTCTGCGGTTGATGACTATTTTTAGGAGCTCGACGATTCCCACTATAAGGGTCCGATACACCTGGGTAAAACTAATGATTCCCACTATAAACAAGGTATCGAAGCTATTGAACATCGCTGGGAAAAGTCTATTGAGCTAAAAGGAGATTATGTAGAGAAATAAAGATATTTTTCCCAAATTTTTTGTTTTCTTTGTTAGGTCAGGTACTTCTGGGACTACCCTCGTAAAAAGTAACATTTGTACCGTTAAAATATAAAGTTTCAGATTTTGTTCCCTCGCCATTCCTTCGGAAACTATCCCGAACTCCCATTAGTCTCAAGAGTAAAGTACCCTTTTGCATGAGCATAATCAATCGTTACTCCTATATTAGAAGCAACATAATTTGTACCCTTAAAATATAAAGTTAGAAATTTCGTACCTCCGCCGTTTTTTCGAAAACTGTTTCCGACACGTATTATGCTGAGTAAAGCTTGTCATAAACAGCATCAATCGTCACTTCTACATTGATGAAATCATAATTTGTGTAGCTAACATATAAAGTTTAATATTTTATACCACCGCTCTTCCTTCGTAAAATTATACAGTGGTCACTATGCACTTAAAATTTTATAGACTTAAAAATATATTGAAAATTTTATTATGTTTCTGAAGAATATTGGTTGCTCAATTGCACGTAAGAAAAGTTTTTATTTTTTTCTATTAGGTGTACAACTTTGCTTTCGCCGTTTTTTTTTCCGAAATTCGAGGCTTTATTGTAAAAAACTGGTTGTACATTTATGATTCAAAGTATTGTCCATCGCTGGCCACTACTTTCTCTCATCTTTCGGGCAACGTTATCCCGCGTTGAAAAAACTGGTCATCTTTTGAAGCGATCCACAAATCGATCCAATTTCTTACTTCTTCATAAGACCGGAAGTGCTGGTCAACCAGGCCGTGTGCCATTGATCGAAACAAGTGTTAGTCAGAGGAAGCAATGTCTGGAGAATACGGCGGGTGGGGTAGGACTTCTCATTTCAACGTTTCCAAGTATGTCTTGACCACTTTCGCAACATGAGGTCGAGCATTGTCATGCTGCAAAATCACTTTATCGTGTCTCTCGTTATATTGCGGCCGTTTGTCTTTCAATGCTCGGCTCAAACGCATTAATTGCGTTCGAGAACGATTGTCTGTGATTGTTTCAGTCGGTTTTAACAGCTCATAATACACTACGCCGAGCTGGTCCTACCAAATACAGAGCATGACCTTGAAGCCGTGAATATTCGGTTTGGCTGTCGACGTGGAAGCATGGCCGGGATATGCCCATGATTTTCTGCGCTTGGGGTTATCGTAATGAACCCATTTTTCGTCCCCAGTCACAATGCGATGCAGAAATCCCTTCCGTCTTTCCGCCTTTCAAGCAACTGTTCACAAGCAAACAAACGCCGTTCAACATCTCTTGGTTTCAACTCGTACGGCACTTAATCTCCTTGCTTCCGAATCATTCCCATGTCTTTGAGGCGTTTTGAAATTGCTTGTTGAGTCACTCCCAATGATCGTACCAATTCTTCTTGACTTTGACACGCGTCTTCATTAAGTAATGCCTCCAATTCTACATGTTCGAAAACCTTCTCTCTTCCACCGCTATGCCGGTCTTCGACGTGAAAATCACCGTTCTTGAAGCGTTGAAACCACTCATGACATGTTCTTTCACTAATAGCGGCCTCACCATAAATATTTGAGAGCATTCCATGAGCCTCAGCCGCAGATTTCTTCATATTGAAGCAGAAAATTAAAACCTCCCGCAAATGACAAGAATTTGTCTCGTAAACTGACATTTTCAATCGAGAATAACATTATGATGCAGACACAAATCGACTAATGTTTCTATGGGGTTATGTTGACAGATGCCCAAGTTTATTGCATGACGTCTATGATCTATTTATTTCGACCACTACTTACCACTACTTACCGCTAAAGCCATCTATAGGAAAACGGCGGAAGCAAAGTTGTACACCTAATATTTTAAGTTTTACCAGTTTTTGATTACTTGTTTTATAGCATATGCGACATTAATTTGATTATAACATTCATTTAAATTAGAATTTCAAAATGTAATCGTCAATATTAAAGAAGCCCATAAAAGCACAAGTAAGTTGTGATGAAAAGAATTTTAGACGAATCGCATACTATTTCGTTAAGCACCGATGCACCGGTGCATTGAATTCAAATCTGTTATACTCAAGAGTAAAGTACAACAAAGTAAGTATCTTTGCACGAACAGAATCAATCGTTATTTTTACATAAGAAGCAACATAATTTGTATGTTAAAATTCGGTGCTTTATATTTTAACGGTACAAATTATGTTGCTTCTTATGTAGGAGTAACGGTTGATTCTGCTCATGCAAAAAGGTACTTTACTCTTGAGGCTAATGGAGTTCGGGATAGTTTCCGAAGGAACGGCAAGGATACAAAATCTGAAACTTTATATTTTAACGGTACAAATTATGTTGCTTCTTATGTAGGAGTAACGATTGATTCAGCTCACGCAAAAGAGCACTTTACTCTTGAGGATAATAGAAGTTCAGGATAATTTCCGAAGGAACGGCGAGGGTACAAAATCTGAGACTTTATATTTTAACGGTACAAATTATGTTGCTTCTTATGTAGGAGTAACGGTTGATTCTGCTCATGCAAAAAGGTACTTTACTCTTGAGGCTAATGGAGTTCGGGATAGTTTCCGAAGGAACGGCGAGGATACAAAATCTGAAACTTTATATTTTAACATACAAATTATGTTGCTTCTTATGTAAAAATAACGATTGATTCTGTTCGTGCAAAGATACTTACTTTGTTGTACTTTACTCTTGAGTATAACAGATTTGAATTCAATTAGAGGTTGTTTCAAATAGTTTGGTATATTAAGTTTTTTTTAATGGTGCAAATTAGTACAAATTCAGTCCTTTTTATTTCTACCTTTGTTTTATTTTTTTTTTTTTAACGTGGTCCTGCTAGCTTAATATTAAGCTAGTAACGCCACGTCTTTTTTTTAAACGGCACATAGTACAAAATTTTTATCGTTGTTACAAATTAGTACAAAATAAGTACTAAATAATGCAATAGGTCTGAATCGATTCTGCCCAGTTGGTCCTACCAGCTTAAGAGAGGTTTAGATAGAGGAACTTCCTGAATAAATCTAAAGTTTTCAAAGACATAGCTACACAATAAAGTCATGATTACACGATAAATCTGGATTATAAAATAAACAAAAGTAAATTTTAAACAACTTGATAGGTACAACGTTTGTTGGTACATAGCACCTTTACATGTGCAGAAACTGATATTATTTCTGTTGCAAAGGGGCAGTAAAACATTCAGCCTGACAGTAGGAGGCTTGTTTGCAGCATCCTTGGAGTGTTTTGCTTCGGTAAATCAAATATCAAACATCATTTATTAAAATATTTTCGATGTAGCATGTTTGGAATGGACAATAACAGAAAACATCTTGCATTGTAGTTGGCGAGTGCGTCGGTATCATACTTTACCGTTATGTATTCCACGCAGCAGTAATATAGTTACCATTCAATATTGTAATATAGTAGGTAAACGTTGAAAAAACATTTGTAGTTTCTTTGTATGAAAGCAAAAGTTGAATAAACTTACCAGATATATTTCGATTTTTCTAACTCATTAATATTACTTATTGTGTGAACTATTTATGGGATATCTTTAATATACAAATATTTCAATAGTCATACACATATACATTTTATCAGTCTTTTCATTTTTGTTTTAGCATAATTAAAACGAATATTTATAATTCTTATGAAATTTGCAATTTCAGATCGCAACCAAAAACTATCTTCATGTGTATTGAAGGGCATTGTGTACGGTATATTTAATAAAAATAATAACACAACCATCATTCAAATACACATAGCTACTTACGAGGGTAGTCCCAGAAGTACCTGACTTGACGTATAGATAGCGGTTGTTGTTTGAAAAGAATGACTATGGTAGAGAGTACCAACCTTATAAAGCTTAAGTTTGAAGTTTGACTCGCTACGTTGTTTAGTATTTGTTTGGCAGCCATCAATAGTGAACGCTCTCAATGAATTTGTAAACATGGAAAAAATTGCTCATCGGTATGTGATACAATACTTTCATTTGAAAGACCTCAGTCCAACCAATATGAAAGCGGAGCTAGATTCTACTCTGGGGGAGTCTGCTCCTCCGTTTACAACAGTAAAATATTGGGTGGCAGAGTTTAAACGAGGCCGTGCGAGCTGCCAAGACGAACATCGCAGTGGTCGACCAAATGAGGTGACCACGCCAGAAATGGTGAAGAAAATCCACAAAATGGTATTGGATGACCGTCGACTGAAAGTGCGCGAGCTAGCAGACATGTTAGGCATTTCAAAAAGTGCTGTACATCGCATATTGACTGAAAATTTGGACATGAGAAAGCTGTGTGCAAGATGGGTGCTGCGATTTGAACAAAAACAGCGTCGTGAGGATGTTTCGCAATCGAGTGTTTGGTGAAGTTTCGCAGCAATAAAGCCGAGTTTTTGCGTCGATTTGTAACCATGGATGAAACATGGGTCCATCACTTCATACCTGACACAAAGGAATAGTCAAAACAATGGACCAAGGTGTGGCTTGATGGCTATATTGAGGAGCTCGACGATTCCCACTATAAACAGGGTATCGAAGCTATTGAAAAGTGTATTGAGCTAAAAGGAGACTATGTAGAGAAATAAAGATATTTTTTCCGAAATTTTTTTGTGTTTTCTTTGTTAGGTCAGGTACTTCTGGGACTACCCTCGTACAATCGTTGAATTAAACGTTTTTGGGAATAATGTTTAGCGTTAATATCAATTGAACGAAAACGAACAAAGAACTCACCTCAAGACGAGATTATATGCTAATAAAGCTTTATATTTCATCGACGATAATTTCACAACAAACATATTGAACTTGTGCCAGATAAGAGTGATATTCCTTCACAGACCAAACGTGTCGTACGAATACTTGCGACAGAATGACTGAAAGAGCGACTACGCTTGCGCGAATTTCGACTGACGAGTTGTCTCACGAATGTTATTTCGTGAGAGATTAACATGTGTTTGAATTCTTTTCGTATTATGTTGATAGCCCGATTGCTGGCGATCTCACTCCGACAAAGTCATTAATGCAAGTGTTATAGTCGCAGGATGGTGTATATCGCACCGCTTTACTTCACACTTATGTTGAGTTATGCAATTTGCGTTAGAATTCGCGGTGGGCGAGACGGAAATTACATAATTCATAATTGATCGTTCGGAAGGAGGGAGATATAAAAATTTCCGTCAACTTCGTCGCGGTCAGATGTGTCTTGATGTTCGTAAAAAAATGATTAATATCGAGTTTCAACATTTTAGCCTTAATCGGATTCTTTTGCTCGCGGTGGGCTTGTGGCCTTATCAGCGCACGAAATTCGTTCGATTACGAGTCGTCTTACTTTTTAGCATTCTAATTGGGTCTATTGTATTTCAGGTATGTCCGTATTTAATCGTATCGTATTATGCAATAGGTGTTACGTTGCCGTCTTTACAACTATTTAGTTTAACACAATTTAGTTTCGATGCAGCCTATGCATCGAGAAATTTGTCCTGCCGTAAGAAAAAGCCGTTATCATAATAATTTGTATAGCGTGAAATTTACGTATTAGATCTGTAGAGCGAGCAAAGTAGTACTCGTGCATATCTCATTGCTTCTCGAAACAAATTTGCATACACTTAGTGGAAAAAATAGCTTCCGACATATTTTATATATAGAAACATCTACTCTTTTTTATACATAATATTCATTACATCAAAAGTAATATATATAATTTATATATGCGAAGAAAATCCGAACTAATTAGATATATAGAATATCTATATGAAACCCTCAGTATATAAGTTGGATTAATCGAAATGAATTTATATGTATCCCCTAATATGACTCTCCTGAAATAAATTCAATCGAGGTATAATTGTGATATAATCTGACGTATTTTTTCTGACTCACATCATATACCACGAACATTTTTATTTTTTATATCAAGATATAGAATATGTGTCCACACATTATGTATATTCATAATTTTTCGATTCGCGCATGCGCACGCACGTTGTTATGCATCGTAAAGCGAATGATCATTTCAAACTTGAATATGAAATAAATATTAATAACTTTCCAAATGTTTTATCGCTTGCAGCTTACACCGTTTATGACCGTACAACTTTCTCTTGACCTTGTTGTTAAAGTTTTCTCTACCATGTTATTACTCGCTACTTTTGCGATTAAATACAACTCATTTTTGGTTAACATCCAAAGTGTAAGTTGAATTTTCTTAATACGTGTCGTAATATACAGGGTATGTCAGAACTTTGGGACACGGGCTCCGTAGGGACATAGAGCTTAATGAGAGGAATAAAAAAGTCCTGTGCCATAATGTGAAAATCGTAATAGCTTTTTTAATTATAACAACGCAAAGTTAGGCGTTTTCCATGCTCAGCGCGGCCTATAGACGCTCCGCGGCAAGCTGTGTGCGTGGGGTCTGAGCGATAACGCGGCTCGCGCTGACCGTCGCGCGGCGTCAAAGCGCCAAGACTCCATCGCGACAGTCAGTCGCGAGATGCGTTATCGCTCAGCCTCTACGCACACATACTCGCCGCGGAGCGAGGTCTATAAGCCGCGATGGGCGTGGAAAACGCCAAACTTTACGTAGTTATTACTAAAAAACTATTACGATTTTCACATTATGGTACAGGACTTTTTTGTTCCTCTCACTTAGCTCTATGTCCCTACGGAGCCCGTGTCCCAAAGTTCTGAGACACCCTGTATATTTCTATATATCAAGCTCCTTTTTTTCTGTTTTTAAGACGAATATATTATGTAACTGATTCTGTAGGTAAAGTATTTAATGGAGCAACTTCAGCGTATATGTGATGAATTGAGAGATGAGAACGAGATTGCTATTTTAGAAAAATATGGCCGAGATGCGAAACGTTATACAATTAATATTTTACGTAAGAAAACATCTGTTAAATTTCATTATTTGTGATAAAAGGAATATATTTCATTTAAGTTATTATGAAAGATTTTTAAATTAAACGGAAAAGATAAATTATTACATAACAAAATAGTTCGTAAAAACGTCCGAGACAAAGACTAGTAGTTGAATGATAAATAAATTTTGAGTATACTGAACAAATGGAAATCTATAAAATTTTAATTTATAAAAGATATTCTTCTAAATATTCTCAGTTTTGACCGCAACCAGTCTAGTTATTCTTATTGTCCAACCACTCGGGCGATGCATTTATAATATTCTACCGTTTACAAACGGGTCTCGATCATATTGCACCGTGCCGATTATAACTGAATATTTCATCGATCAAGAAAAATATTTTTATATTATTATACTGCATATGAGTGCAGCTTTTTCTATAGGAACGATTATATTGATAGCAACAGGAACATGGCTGGCAGTGTCTCTTAAACATGCTTGCGGTATATTCAAGATTGCCAGGTGAAGAAATGAACGTAGTGTATAAAATTATAATTGTGTCTAACGAAACAATCTTACTTCCGCAATCGAAATTGAAATTAATAACAATAGAAAAATTATTTACAGTTACCGCATTGAACGGGCGATAACAAATAACTCTTTGGAGAATAGCAATCTGAAAAACAAGATTATGATTTATAAAAGAATAATTTTTGCAGTAGAAATTCACCGCAAAGCCATGCAGTATTTATAATTATTTATAAATATTTATAGCAATATATAAATTTATATGTAATAAAATTATTTTATTTTTTTGTAGGTTCGCAGGAAATGTAATAAATAGATTTAACAGTACATTCTTCTTTTTAATTACCTGTGGTGTGGCTTGTTTAAGTTTTAATCTTTTCCGCGTAAGTTTTATTACGTTTTAGATGTATTTAAAGATAAACTATATAAAAGAAAGAAATTTCTCATATCAATATGTCTTAGATCTTTCAGATAATATCGTTTGGAAAAAATATGGAGGAAATAATATTGCATCTTTTGTTAGGAATTGTCATTATTATATATATGTTTTTAGCCAACTATGCCGGACAGGAAATTACTGATCATAATGATCATGTATACCTTACAGCGTAAGAAACAGTTTTATGTAACGCTCAAAATTATATTTAAAATAATTATAATTTATAATTAAAATAAATTAAAAATGATATTTAATCGATTTACAATCAAGTTTTTGCTGTAATTTCTCACGTGTGCATAAATTTAGTGAAGTTATAGAAATTTCCTGAATAAACCTAAAGTTTTCAAAGACACAAACATATACAATAAAGTCATAATCACACAATAAATTAAGATAAACGAAAGCAAATTCTAAACAACTTGATAGGTACAACGTTTGCTGGTACATAGCACCTTTACATGTGCAGAAACTGATATTATTTCTGTTGCAAAGAGGAAGTAAAACGTTCAGCCTGACCGTAGGCGGCTTGTTTACAGCATCCTTGGAGTGTTTCGCTTCGGTACAAGATACATCATGTATTAGAATATATTTAACGCAGCATATTTCGAGTAGACAACAATAGACGATATCTTTCATTATAGTTGGCGAGTGCGTCGGTATCATACTTTACCGTTATGTATTCTACACAAAAGTGATATAGTCATCATTCAATATCGTAATATAGTAGGTAAATATTAAAAAAGCATTCGTAAAAAAAAAACCTAGTTTATTTGTATGAAAGCAAAAATTGAATAAACTTACGCAAAATACATTTCGATTTTTCTAACTCGTTAATGCTACTTATTGCGTGGGCTATTTATTGGATATCTTTAATATACAAATATTTCAATAGTCATATGCATATACATTTTAACAGATTTTTCATTTCTGTCTTAGCGTAATTAAAATGAATATTTATAATTCTTATGAAATTTGCAATTTCAGATCGCAACCAGAAACTATTTTTATGTGTATTGAGGGCATTGTGTACGGTATATTTAATAAAAACAATAACACAACCATCATTCAAATAACACATAGTTACTTGCAATCGTTGAGTTAAACGTTTTTGGGAATAATGTCTAGCGTTAATATCAATCGAACGAAAACGAACAAAGAACTCACCTCAAGACGAGATTATATGCTAATAGAGCTTTATATTTCATCGACGATAATTTCACAACAAACATATTGAACTTGCGCCAGATGAGAGTGATATTCCTTCACAGACCAAACGTGTCGTACGAGTACTTGCGACAGAATGACTGAAAGAGCGACTACGCTTGCGCGAATTTCGACTGACGAGTTGTCTCACGAATGTTATTTCGTGAGAGATTAACATGTGTTTGAATTCTTTCCATATTATGTTGATAGCCCGATTGCTGGCGATCTCACTCCGACAAAGTCATTATATTATCGCACCGCTTTACTTCGCACTTATGTTGAGTTATGCAATTTGCGTTAGAATTCGCGGTGGGCGAGACGGAAATTACATAATTCGCAATTGGTCGTTCGGAAGGAGGGAGATATAAAAATTTTTGTCAACTTTGTCGCGGTCAAATGCATCTCGATGTTCGTAAAGAAATGATTAATATCGAGTCTCAACATTTTAGCCTTAATCGCCTTCTTTTGCTCGCCGTAGGTTTATGGCCTTATCAGCGCACGACATTCGTCCGATTCCGCGTCATCTTATTTTCCAGCATTTTGATGAGTTCTATTATATTTCAGGTATGTCGATATTTTATAATCGCGTTATTATATAATAACTATTACATAGTCTGTGCATCTGTATAGTTTAACACAATTTAGGTTCTACGGAATCTACGTATCGAGAAATTTGTCCTATCGTAAGGAAAACTTGTTTTAATAATAATTTATAATGTGAAATTTATGTATTAAATCTGTATAGTGAACAAAATAGTATTCGCATATATACATACTTCAATGCTTATACAAATAACTTTGCGTACCTCAGATAGAAAAAAAATGTTTTTGATATATATTTGACATTGGAATATATACTCTTTTTTCTATAGTACCTGTTACATCAAAAGCATATGCGTGATTTTATGCATAATGAAATTCTAAGTTATTTGTTGATGAAATAAATATATAATTTTCCAAATATTATTTTTCATATATTTATTATTTGCAGCTTACGGCGTTAATCACGGGTCCACTCTCCCTTAATTCTGTTGTTAATGTTTTTTGTACCGCGAAATCTTTTTCTACCTTCGTTATTAAATTCAATTCATTTTGGATTAACGTTCAAAGTGTAAGTTGAGCCCCATCATGCTTTTCGTAAAATATTTTTACATGTCCAACTTCTTTCGCTTAAAGGACGAGAAATAGTATATAGTTGATTTTATAGGTAAAGTGTTTAATAGAGCAACTTCAGCGTATCTGTGATGAATTGAAAGACAAGAACGAGATTGCTATCTTAGAAAAATATGGGCGAGATGCGAAACGTTATACAATTAATATTTTATGTAAGAAGATATCTTTTGATTCTTTATATGTGAAGGGAGAGATGCATTTTATTTAAGTTATTATTATAAAAGAGAATTTCTAATTAAACGGAGAAAATAAATTATTATATAACAGAGTAGTTTTTGTAAGAATATCCCAGACGAAAACTAGTAGTTGGTTGACAAATAAATATTGACTATATTGATATCGAACGATTCGAAAGTTTTAGTTTATGAATATATTCCTCCAAATATTTTTAATAATGACCGTATGCAGTCTTGCCGTTGTTATTGTTCAGCCATTCTGGCCGTACATTTATAATGTCCTGTCGTTTATGAACGGTTCTCGATCATGCTGTACCCTGCCGATTGTAACTGAATATTTTATCGATCAAGAAAAATATTTCTACATCATTATATTACATATGGACGTAGCTTTTTGTATAGGAGCGATTACAATGATAGGGACAGGAACATGGCTAGTAGTGTCTCTTAAACATGCCTGCAGTGTATTCAAGATTGCCAAGTGAAGAAATGAATGCAGAAGTGTGTGTAAAACTATGATTGTGTCTATCGAAATGTTGCATTTTTATTCGGAGTTGAGATTAATACAGAGAAATTATTTGCAGTTACCGTATCGAACTGGCAATAGCAAATAATTCTTTCATTAATAACGATCTGGAAGACAAGATTACGATTTATAAAAGGACAACTTACGCGGTAGACATTCATTGCAAAGCTATGCAGTTGGTATTTATTTAGCAATATATAAATAATATGTGTAATAAAATTACTTTATTTTTGGCAGGTTCGCAAAAAATGTAATAACTAGTTTTGACAGTATATTCCTTTTTTTAATTGTGGTTGGTGTAGCGTCCTTAAGTTTTAATCTTTTTCGCGTAAGTTTTATTACGTTTTAGACATATATGTATATATATATTTTTTTATATAAATGAACTATGCAGAGAAAATAGAAATTTTCTATACTTTAATGTTTTAGGTTTTTCAGGTAATGTCATCTGGAAACGATATAGAGGAAATGATATTACATCTCCTTATAGGGATGATCATTATTATATATATGTTTTTAGTCAACTATGCCGGACAGGAAATTACTGATCATAATGATTACATATATCTTACAGCGTAAGAAACAGTTTTATGTGACACTCAAAATGATATATGTAACCACATTGTAAAATTCGAAATGATATTCCATCAATCTATAATCAAGGTTTTGTTGTAATTTCTCACATATGCTTAAAAATTTAGGGGGGTTAGATAGAGGAATTTCTTGAATAAATTTAAAATTTTCAAAGACACAGCTACACAATAAAGTCATAATTACGCGATATATCAAGATTATAAAACAAACGAAAGTAAATTCTAAACAACTTGATAGGTACAACGTTTATTGATACATAGCACCTTTACATGTGCAGAAACTGATATTATTTCTATTGCAAAGGGGCAGTAAAACGTTCAGCCTGACAATAGGAGGCTTGTTTACAGCATCCTTGGAGTGTTTTGCTTCGGTAAATCAAATATCAAACATCATTTATTAAAATATTTTCGATGTAGCATGTTTGGAATGGACAATAACAGAAAACATCTTGCATTGTAGTTGGCGAGTGCGTCGGTATCATACTTTACCGTTATGTATTCCACGCAGCAGTAATATAGTTACCATTCAATATTGTAATATAGTAGGTAAACGTTGAAAAAACATTTGTAGTTTCTTTGTATGAAAGCAAAAGTTGAATAAACTTACCAGATATATTTCGATTTTTCTAACTCATTAATATTATTTATTGTGTGAACTATTTATTGGATATCTTTAATATATAAATATTTCAATAATCACACACACATACATTTTAACAGTCTTTTTATTTCTGGCTTAGCGTATTTAAAACCAATTTATAATCTTTATCCAATTTATAATCCTTATGGAATTTGCAATTCCAAATTGCAAACTATTTTTGTGTGTATTTATATATGTTTTTATGTGAATTAAGAGGCATTGTGTACGGTATATTCAAGAAGTATAAATAACACAACCATCATTCAAATAATATATAGCTATTTAAAGTCGTTGAGTTAAACGTTTTTGAGAATAATACTTAACGTTAATATCAATTGAACGAAAACGAACAAAGAAACACTACTCACCTCAAGACGTGATTATATGTTAATAGCTTTATATTTCATTGACGGTAATTTCACAACCGACACACTGAACTTGCGCCAGATGAGAATAATATTCTTTCACCAACCAAACGTGTTGTACTAGTACTTGTGACAGAATGAAGTAACTGAAAGAGCGACAAAAGAGCGCTTGCGCGAACTTCGGCTGACGAGTTGTCTCACGATGTTATTTCATGAGAAATTAACATGTGTTGAATTCTTTCCGTATTATGTTAATAGTCCGATCGCCGGCGAACTCACTCCGACAAAGTCGTTAAAATGCAAGTGTTACAATCGCACGATGGTATATCGCGCCGCTTTGTGTCACACTTATGTTGAATTACGTAATTTACGTTGGAGTTCGCGATAGGCGAGACGGAAATTACATAATTCGTGATCGATCGTTCGGAAAAAGGGAGATGTAGGAATTTTCACCGACTTTTTCGCGGTCAAATGTGTCTCGATGTTCGTAAAGAAATGATCAATATCGAGTCTCAAAATTTTAGTCTTAATCGGATTCTTTTGCTTGCTGTAGGTTTATGGCCTTATCAGCGAACGAAATTCGTTCGATTCCGCGTCATTTTATTTTCCAGTATCCTGATGAGTTCTATTATATTTCAGGTATGTCGATATTTTATAATCGCGTTATATAATAACTATTACATAGTCTTCGTATCTGTATAGTTTAACACAATTTAGTTTCGACGGAGTCTACATATCGAGAAATTTGTCCTGTCGTAAGAAAAATCCGTTTTGATAATAATTTATGACGTGAAATTTATGTATTAAATATATATAGTGAGCAAAGTAATATTCGCACATAATTCATTGCTTATAGAAACAACTTTGCATATCCCAGATGGACAAAAAATGTTTTTGATATATATTTTATATTGGAATACATACTCTTTTTAATATAGTGTTATCTGTTTTACATCAGAAGTTTATGCGTCATTTATATGCCTAATGAAACTCTGAGCTATTTTAGATGTGTATAATATTTATATAAAGGCTTCGATGTTAGATTGGAGTCGCGATGGACTTATAATATGGCTCTATTAATGAAGTCAAGTGAAGTAGTATATAATTGTGATGTAAGCTAAAGCATATGTTTTCCTTTCGAAAAGTTCACCTTATATCTCACAAGAAGCTCAGTATATATTACGAATATTTTTTACATTAAAACTTTTAGCTGATGTAGAATGTGTTGCTCGCGCAATGAGTATATTTATATTTACAACTTTGTAATTTACATATGTGCATACATACACATACATTACTATACACGGAAGAGCAGTTGATTATCTCAAATTTGTTGATGAAATAAATATTGTATATAAATCTTCAAATATATTTTTCATAGATTTATCGCTTATAGCTTACAGCGTTAATCGCCGAACAACTCTCCGCTCAGCTTGTTATTAAAGTTTCTGGTGCAGTGTTATTTTTTTCTATCTTTGTAATTAAATTCAACTCATTTTGGATTAATCTTCAAAGTGTAAGTGTAAGAGCCTCATCATGCTTTTTGTAATATATATTTGCATATCCAACTTCTTTTGTTTTAAGGACGAGAGATAGTGTACTATATAGTTGATTTTATAGATAAAGTGTTTAATGGAGCAACTTCAGCGTATCTGTGATGAATTGAAAGATAAGAACGAGATTGCTATCTTAGAAAAATATGGGCGAGATGCGAAACGTTATACAATTAATATTTTATGTAAGAAGATATCTTTTGATTCTATTTATATGTGAAAGAAGAGATGCATTTTATTTAAGTTATTATTATAAAAGAGAATTTCTAATTTAACGGAAAGAAAAAATTATTATACAATAGAGTAGTTTTTGTAAGAATGTTTCAGACGAAAACTAGTAGTTAATTGACAAATAAATATTGACTATATTGATATCGAACGGTTCGAAAGCTTTAGTTTATGAATATTTCTCAAAATATTTTTAGTGGTGACCGTATGCAGTCTTGCCGTTATTATTGTCCAGCCATTCTGGCCGTACATTTATAATGTCCTACCGTTTATGAACGGTTCTCGATCATGCTGTACCCTGCCGATTGTAACTGAATATTTTATCGATCAAGAAAAATATTTCTACATCATTATATTACATATGGACGTAGCTTTTTGTATAGGAGCGATTGCAATGATAGGGACAGGAACATGGCTAGTAGTATCTCTTAAACATGCCTGCAGTATATTCAAGATTGCCAGGTGAAAAAATGAATGTAGAAGTGTGTGTAAAATTATGATTGTGTCTATCGAAATGTTGCATTTTTATTCGGAGTTGAGATGATTATTTAATATAGAAAAATTGTTTACAGTTACCGTATCGAACTGGCGATAATAAATATTTTTTTCAAGAATAATATGGTGGACGAGATTACAATTTATAAAAGGATAACTTACGCGGTAGACATTCATTGCAAAGCTATGCAGTTGGTATTTATTTGGCAAGATATAAATAATATATATAATAAAGTTATTTTATTCTTTACAGGTTCGCAAAAAATGTAATAACTAGTTTTGACAGTACATTCTTTTTTTTAATTGCGGTTGGTGTAGCTTCCTTAAGTTTTAATCTTTTCCGTGTAAGTTTTATTACGTTAGTTTACAAACATATATAAAAGTGAACTGTAGAAATAAAATAGAAATTTACTACACTGTAATGTCTTAGATTTTTCAGATATTGTCGTCCGGAAACGATATGGAGGAAATGATATTACGTCTTCTGTCAGGGATTATCATTATTACATATATGTTTTTAGCCAACTATGCCGGCCAGGAAATTACTGATCATAATAATCACGTATATTTTACAGCGTAAGAAACAGTTTTATGTGACGCTCAAAATTACATACGTGTAACCGCTTTATAAAATTCAAGTTAGAGGAGGAAGTTAAAGTAATTGTAATCTTGGAAACGTACTAAACATATACTCCATTTTATACTTTTATTATGTCATGTGTGTCATAAGATAGATTAATAGCATAAGAAGATTAATAGCTCAATGATGATGGAAAATCTAAGAATAAAAGATTCAAAATAACAAAGTTTTATGCTGGAAAGTAGTGACAACAAACTAATAACTAATGAAGAAAGTTGTCAACATAATACAACTTTGGATTACAATCTAATTTATAATAGAAATTATATTCAATCGATCCACAATTAAGTTTTTATTGTAATTTCTCACGTGTGCATAAATTTAGGGAGGTTAAAGAAATAATTTCTGAATAAACCTAAAGTTTTCAAAGACACAATCAAGTCACAAGATTACACGATAAATCAAGATGAACGAAAGTAAATTTTAAACAACTTGATAGGTACAACGTTTGCTGGTACATAACACCTTTACATGTGCAGAAACTGATATTATTTCTGTTGCAAAGGGGCAGTAAAACGTTCAGTCTGACCGTAGGAGGCTTGTTTACAGCATCCTTGGAGTGTTTTGCTTCGGTAAAAAATGCATCATTCATTAAAATATTTTCAATATAACATGTTTGGAATGGACAATAACAGAAGACATCTTGCATTGTAGTTGGCGGGTGCGTCGGTATCATACTTTACTGTTATGTATTCCACGCAACAATGATACATCCATCATTCAATAGTACATTGGAATACAGTAAGGTAAATCTGTAAAAAATTCTTAGTGTTTTTATCTAGAAGCAACCGTTGAATAAACTTTTGCGTGATATATTTCAATGTCGCTAAGTTATTAACATTATGATTAACATATTAACATATTGATTATTTAATGGATATTTCTGGCGCAGAAATATTATGAAAATCTTAATAATATCCAGTATTTACCGAATTAAATTTTGAATTTTTAGTAAATTTAAGTACTTGCGTATGCATACACAAATTATTTATAGTGCTTAGCCTCAGTATTATTTTAATAGTGCGAATGTTATTTATGAATTGTATCTGTAATGAATTAATAATGAATTGAACGAATCTTGCATGAATAAAGTGGCCCCATCAGTAATATTATTTATGGATTTCTCTCATTTCATTTTTAATGTAATTAAAAAGAATTAACGATTATATTATAATATTAACAATTTTCTCGAAATTCGTAATTTCAGGTCCCTGAACTCTGAAACTATTTTTGTGTATTTAGACTTGTATGGTGCGATGTATTTAAGAAATATATAAAAAGCTCAATCTCTGATGACTTGTATAATGAATAGCTACTTAAAGTCGTTGAATAAAACGTTTCTGGGAATAGTGCCTAATATTGATGTCAATTGAACGAAGACGAACAAAGAAACAAAATCTTGAAAAATAATTTTAATTGGAAGAATGAGCGCTACTATTAAATATATGATACGTTAGCGTAGCAATATTATTGAGTATATTTGTATATTTAACATTCCTTAGATACAAACGGATACATTAATCATTCGGGAACTACGTTCAATGGAGAGTTTGAAATACACGGTTCGTCAATTCTTTTTAATTCTTCGTGAAATCGCGAAGTCAGAATCACTCTATTAATTGCAAATGTCGAGATACACTAAATAAGATAGTACTATCAACCATAAGACTAGATTGTACATTAGTAAAATTTTATACTTCACTGACGATAACTCCACAGTTGAGATGTCAAACTTGCGCCAAATGAGTGATATTCTTTCACAGACCAAACGTCGTACGAGTATCGTACGAGTACTTGTGACAGAATGAAGTAACTGAAAGAGACTATGTGTGCGCGAATTTCGCGTTGACGAATTGTCTCATAAGTGTTATTTTGTGAGAAATTGACATATGTTGAATTCTTTCCGTATTATGTTGATAGCCCGATCGCTGGCGATCTCACCGATAAAGTCCAATTAAAATGCAAGTGTTGCGGTCTCGCGATGGTACAGGTTGCGTGAAAAGTTCGCGGAGCAAAACTGAAATAAAGAATACCTAATTCTAAAAATGATTTTATTCTTCAATATAGTCTCCATTAACTTCAATACACTTGGCCCAATGGCTCTCCAATAATTTTATTCCATCGCGGAAGTGTGTTTCTGAAAGGTCTGCGAAATATGCCTCTACGGCTGCTATAGCTTCTTCAATCGACGAAAAATGCTTCCCACGGAGGAATTGTTTCAGGTTTCGGAACAGATAGAAGTCGCTGGGTGCCAAATCTGGCGAATACGGTGGATGATCAAGCAATTTGTACTTCAATTCATTGAATTTAGACATTGACAAAACACTTGTGTGAGCAGGTGCGTTGTCTTGGTGAAAAATGATTTGTTTGTGCTGCAAACCAGGTCTTTTCTCACGAATTTTTGCGTCCAATTGATCCAAAAGGTTACAATAATATTCAGAGTTAATTGTTTTACCTTTTTCCAGATAGTCAATTAACAAAATCCCTTTAGCATCCCAAAAAACTGATGCCAACACCTTTTTTGCCGATCTTTCATGCTTTGTTTGCTTTGCAGCTGAACATCCAGCTTCAGTCCACTGTAAATGTTCCTGTTTCAATTTAGAATCATGGTGATAGATCCAAGTCTCATCTATAGTTATAAAACGACGCACAAAATCGGTTTTATTCTTCTTAAAACGATCCAACCGACGCTGAGAAATTTGCTTTCGAGCGAGTTTTTGTTGAATTGTTAACGTATGCGGCACCACTTTTCCAAACACCTTTTTCATTTGTAATTCTTTATGCAAAATATGCCGTATCCGTTCATCAGAAATGCCTATGGTATGAGCAATTTCATGCGTAGTCACACTTGGATCTTCAGAAACAATAACATGTATTTGCTCAATGATTTCTGATGTTGATGCGCTTTTTGGACGTCCACTGCGTGGATCATCTTCAATGCTTGTACGACCACGTTGAAACTCAAGTGCCCACTTACAAACCATTGTTTTTGAAGGAGCAGATTCCCCTAACACATTTACCATCTCGGAATGAATTTCCATTGCCTTTAAACCTTTTTTTAACAAAGAACTTAATCACTGCACGCTGTTTCAAATTTTCCATTGCAAACAAATATACTGACACGTCAACTTCAATTGGCTTGTAAACACAGAAAGAATTGACAGATGGAAATGAAACCTAACCTAGGTTCATGTGAAGAGTGATTCTATTTAACCGACTACAATTTATAATTCTACCGTTTACTTATAAATGCCGCTCCGCGAACTTTTCACGCAACCTGTATATTGCGCCACCATATCACACTTATGTAGAAATACGCAATTTACGTTCGAATTTACAGTAGATGAGGCAGAGAAATAAATCATCAATAACATACAATTGATCGCTTGGAAGGAAGAGGATGTGCAATTTTCCGTCACCTTTGTCGCAGTCAAACATGTCTCGACGCTCGTAGAGAAATTATCGACATCGAGTCTCAACATTTCAGTCTTAATCGAATGTTTTTACTCGCTGTAGGTTTATGGCCCTATCAGCGAACGAAATTCGTTCGATTCCGCGTCATCTTATTTTTTATCATCCTGATGAGTTTTATTATATTTCAGGTATGTCAATATTTTAATCGCATTATTATGTAATAACTATTATATTATATTATAGTCTTTGCACCTGTGTTTAATACAAATAAGTTTCGATGGGGTCTACGTATCGAGAAATTTGTCTTGTCGTAAGGAATGTCCTCGTTTCGTTAATAACCTCTGCAACGTTATATTTACGTAATCAAAGTGTAAAGTGAAAGTAATATTCGCGCATATTTCATTGCTTATCGGAACAACTTTTCATATATAGATAGAAAAAAGATATTTTTTTATATATTTTATATTGGGATATACACTTTTTTATACATAGTATCCCCATGATATCAAAGGTATATGCACAATTTATATGCGCAATGAAGCTCCGAGTTATTTTAGATGTGTGCAATATTTATATGAAATCTTCGGTGTGTAAACTTCGCTTGGATTAGAGTTAAAATGGACTTTTAGTATCGCTCTGCTAATAAATTCAAGTGAGATAGTATATCATTGTAATATAGCTAAACCGTATGTGTATATTTTTCAAAAAATTCATACTATATCTTACGCAAAGCACACGAATATGCCACGAATTTTTTTTTGCATTAAATTTTCAGCTGATATGAAATGTGTGCTTGTGCACTAAGTACATTTATATTTATAATTTCTCTATCTGCATACACGCACATACACACACGTACACATTATTGTACATCAAGGAGCAATTGATTACTTCAAATTTGCATTTTACTGATGAAATAAACGTATAATTTTCCTAACATATTTTTCATAAATTTATCGCTTATAGCTTACAGCGTTAATCACCGAACAACTATCCGTTCAGCTTATTATTGAAGTCTTTTGTGCCTCGTTATTTTTTCTTAGCAATTAAATTCAACTCATTTTGGATTAACATCCAAAGTGTAAGTTGAATTTTCTTAATACTTATCGTAATATATATTTTTATATATCCAGCTTGTTTTTTTTTTTGCTTTTTTTTTCAAGTCGAGTATATTATGTAATTGATTCTGTAGGTAAAATGTTTAATGGAGCAACTTCAGCGTATATGTGATGAATTGATGTGATTGAGATAAGAACGAGATAGCTATTTTAGAAAAAATATGGGCGAGATGCGAAACGTTATACAATTAATATTTTATGTAAGAACATATCTATTGACGTTAATTATATGTGACAGACGAGATGTATTCTATTTAAGTTATTATCATGAAGGATTTTTAATTGAACGGAAAAAATAAATGATTACCTAACAAAGCAGTTTGGAGATAATATTCGGGACAAAGACTATAGTAATTGGATAGCGAATAAATATTGAGTATATTGATATCGAACGATCGAAAAGATGTACCAGAAGAATACTTCTAAATATGTTTAGTGTTGACCGTATTCAGTGTTGTCGTTCTCATTGTCCAGCCATTCTGGCCATATATTTATAATATTGTACCGTTTATAAATGTGTCTCGGTCGTGTTACACTGTGCCGCTTATAACTGAATACTTCATTGATCAAGAGAAATATTTTTGTATCATTATGCTACATATGGATGCAGCTGTTTGTATAGGAGCTATTGCAATGGCGGGGACAGAAACATGGCTCCTAGCCTCTTTTAAACATGCCTGCCAGTATATTCAAGATTGCCAGGTGAAGAAGTGAATGTAGAAGTGTGTGTAAAATTATGATTGTGTCTAACGAAACAATGTTGTTTTCTCACTTGAAGTTGAGATGATTATTTAATACAGAGAAATTGTTTACAGTTACCGTATCAAACTGGCGATAATAAATAGTCCTTTCAAGAGTAATCTGGAAAACGAGATTACGATTTATAAAAAGATAACTTATGCGGTACACATTCATCGTACAGCCATGCAGTTGGTATTTATTTAGCAATATATAAATAATATTTGTAATAAAATTACTTTATTTTTGGCAGGTACGCAAAAAATGTAATAACTAGTTTTGACGGTACATTCTTTTTTTTAATTGTGGTTGGTGTAGCTTGCTTAAGTTTTAATCTTTTTCGCGTAAGTTTATTATGTTGGTTTAAATATATTATATAAAAACGAATTGTATAGATAAAATAGAAATTCATTATACTATAATGTCTTAGGTCTTTCATATAATATCGTCTAGAAACGGTATTGAAGAATGTTTTTATCCAACTATGCTGGCCAGGAAATTACTGATCATAATAATCACGTGTATCTTACAGCGTAAGAAACAGTTTTATGTGACGCTCAAAATTATACATGTAATCACTTTATAAAATTATTTTCAGGATCATTATAATCTTATAAAGGATTACAGATAAAACTTATGATTACATGAAAACAAGATAAGCTAAAGTAAATTCTAAACAATTTCATAGGTACAACGTTTATATAGCAACTGGTATATAGCGCCTTTACATGTGCAAAAATTGATATTATTTCTATTGCAAAGGGGCAGTAAAATGTTCAGCCTGACCGTAAGAGGCTTGTTTACAGCATCTTTGGAGTGTTTCTCTTCAGTAAAAAATATAT